ATGTGTACACCGATCTATGTAGACATATGTGTAGCCATATGTATATATAGCCATGTATAGATAACTAACTTTCTATATTTGAATATCTGTATATACACATATACCTAGGTATATAGGCATCGGTCGACCCGTATATCTATATTACAATTCGGAATGTGTATATATATATATATGTGTGTGTGTGTGTAAATGCACGACTGCGAGTATTTGTATGTATATATAAATATATATGTATACATGTATCCATACACCCCATTGTATATGTCTACAACGGGGTGCACTGCGACCCCCGCCTAAACGGGACCCTTCGGATCCGTGGCCCTGGCGATTCCCTGGACGCCCCTGTCGAAGGTCCCCCGAACTGTTGGGAGCTCCTGGGAGCCCATGCGCCAGGCAGCGGGCCAAAAATTCGGTCAGGAGGGCGGCCGAACGGCCCCCCGCGGGCCCCAGGAGGCCCCAAACACCCACCAGACGCCCGAAGGCGACACACAGGAACACCCCCAACAGGCCTCCGAAATGCAGAACGCAATTTTCTGTTGTTGCTCAATTGTTGTTGTAAAATGTTGGTGATGCTCTGTTCGTCGGTTTTCCAGGCGTCCGACACCGCACCAGAGGCCCGAACATCATGCCAACGCTATCCGAAAAGGCTTCCAGGCAGCCCAAGAAACTCCCAAAACAGCCCAACAGGGCACCAGGATTGCCCGAAGAGGGCCCCATGACGGCCCAACATGTCCCCAAGATACCCCCCGAAGCATTCCAAATCGTGACGCGGCAGCCCAGGGAAACCGCAGTTGGAAGCAGGGTGGCCCGAGGAATCCCCCAGAGGCCCCCAGAAGGCGCCCAGGGAAGCCTTGTAAAACTTGCATGAGGCCCCCAAAAAGCTCTCCAACGAGGAGCCTCCTCAGGAAGGGCAGAGGAGGATGGGGGGGGTAATTATCAGGACAAGGCGGGAATGAGGAATAGGAGCAAGAAGCATGAGGAAAACATGCCAGGTTACATTATTATGATGACGATGTCGGACGAATAAACGAGGTGTTCTCGTTATCTGTACTGCTGCACTGCCCTGGCCTTTCGGCCTTCCGCCGGCCTGCCAATTATTCAAAGGCCCAGGTGCATGGCGCGAAGCGATGATGCCGTCTTGAAAAAAATGGCACATGCCGATGTAAACGTGTTTACATGAATATGTTGTGCAAGTATGTGTATATATCCAGTGCTTCGATATTCAGTAGTGTGCATGTTTATATATATATATATATGTGCCACGCAATGCATGACTGTAAACATGTCTAAGCGTGTGTACGTATGTCGACATACCAGCATGGCAGTGTGTAAATGTACATTGCGATATGTCAATGTGTTCGAATCGGTTTACATATACATGTGTATACAAACGTATACATACACATATGGATATATGAAAATACACATATAAACATATATGTGCACCGATGTACGTGTAATCATATAACCATACATGTGCACACGCATATGCATGCCAACAGATCCTTTACACATATCGAAAAGTGATATGCGAATTCATAACGATGTACGTCTCTATATGTATACTAGAACCCTCGCGCGCTTCGCGCGCGCTCAAGTTCTAGCTAGCTTAAAGAATAGCGCGTAGCGGAGGGAAGAAAAGATGTCAGCATCGGACATCGGACCTGCAGCTGTCGCCGGCGGGGGCGTCGCAGGTTGGCGCCGTGGTACCGGGCAAGTGTGAGACAGATGAACAAACAACACATACGTGCACATGCTACGTTATAATATGAAACCTACTACAAAGAAGAAGGGTCAGGCGCCGTCCTGCCTACATAAACTTCATAACAAACAAACAAAAAATCAAAGTTGTCGGAGAAGGCTTTGGAAATCCAGTCGGGCCCTGCGTCATGTACAATATCATCCGACCACCGCTTGTTCGGATGACGCTGTCGCCGTCGTGCACCCAGTAATAAATCGCATTGAGGGTTCCACCGTAACGCCTGAGATGTCCATACGTATTAGCCACGATTGCGTCCTTCATCCGTCGTATTTCGTCCGTCGTCGTCGCTTCCCTCGTCGCCGTCGTCTGCGTCGTCGTTTGTCGTCCGTCCTCCGTCGAATGTCGTCGCCTCTCAACCGTCCGACGTCAGTCCTCGTCATCGTCGACTTCGAGTTTTTACGGTGTTCTTCGATTTCTGACTCTGAATGCATGTTTTCCAGCCCCAAGACCTTCAACACGGACGTCGGATGAAAACCCATGAAGACCTTCGTCTCGGGGCGTCTCGGGAACGTCGGGGGGGGTCTTGCGAGTTACGTGGGGTTTCGTGTTGAGCTTCCGGGAGCCCAGGGTTGGAAATGTTCGTTCGGCCTCCGCCTGGACCGCTGCGCTTCCTGGATGCTGCTTGAGGCCGCTTGGGGGCCTCCTGGAGGCCTCTTGGGCTCTTTTGGGGGCCTCTTGGGGCCTCCTCGGAGCATCCTGGACTGCTTCTTGAAGTCGTCATGGGACCTTCTTGGCATGTCTTCGGGGGCCTCTTAGAAAGAGTTTTGAAGCCTCCTGGGTGCCGTCTTGGGGCATCTTGGAGCCTCCTTTGGGCTTCTTGGGGGCCTCTTGGGGCCTCTCGGGGCCTCTCGGGGGCATCGTGGGGCCTCTTGGGGGCTTCCTGGGGGCCTCTTGGGACCTCTTGGGGGCATCTTGGGGCGGAGAGCTTGATTTTTCAGTTCGCGTTCCCTCTCTTGGGCCCCACTTGGGGCCTTCTTGGGACCCTCTTGCGCCGTCTTGGGCGGCTCTGGGGCCGTCTCGGGGCTCTCTTGGGCCGTCTTGGGGCCCTCTTGGGGGCCTCTTGGGCCGTCTCGGAGCAATTGTGGGAACCTCTTTGGCGGTGCTTTAGCCTCGGAAACACGAAACAGCGAGAATGCAAACAACGATTTGTCCCTCTCGGGGCGCTCTTGGGCGGCATCTCAAAGGCCTTTGGGGGGCGTCTTGAGGGCCTCTGGGGGAGTTCAAAACGCATCGTGCGTCGCCAGAGACCCCTCTGGACGACGCCTTGGGGGTGTCTCGAGACCGCCTGGGGCCGCCGGGATTGCTGTCTGAGGGCTCCCCGGGGCGATTTTATCGGGTCGGGCGAAAGGGGGAGATAGCAAAGGGGGGGTTTGAGAATCAGCTCACGTAGCTGATTTTCCCGGCGCCTCCCAGCGCCGGAGGCGGCTATGTATCGAGGAATGGGCCCCTCGGTGAGGCCGAAACCAGCTGCATGCAGCAAATTTCGTAACCCCCCCTTTCCCAATCCCCCCCTTTCGCCCGGCCCGATTTTAGCTGTCCCAGAGGCGGGCCTGGGCCCCGGTGCCCACATTTGCGGTCGAGGTTCCGGCCATCGGCCCCGGGGCCCGGTGTGCGCCGTTGTATGTACCTATACGACCGCCCTGCGGGCGACAAGGAGGTTGGGGGGGGGATTGAGAGATCAAATGCCCACCCTGACTGACCTCCAGCCTGTCACCTTGATCTCATCCATCTCTTGCTCTCTGTCTCTCTCTCTCTCTCTCTCCCTCTCTGTGTCTCTCTCTCTCTCTCTCTCTTTCTCGCCCTCTCTCTCTTTCTCTCCCCCTCTCTATCAGAGTCTCCCTCCACCACAATGATGATCGCGATGGCGATGAGATCCCACTATCTACCTATCCGTCGACCGACCTATCGGTGAATCTCACTGCCGACCTCACTATCGACCTCAAAAGCAAAATGAGAAAGCCCGCCGCAGGCGCCGAAAAAGGATGTGTTGTGATCACAGCGCAGATTCGCCTCGCCCGCACGCACGACACGAACACGAAACCGAAACCGATTTCCCAGTGGTGGGTCTCCGTTTCACTGCGACCTCCCCCCCAACCTCCGATACATTCACACATTCACGCATTCACGCATTCCCGCATTCACACATTCACACTTTCACGCACTCACACATTCCCACATTCCCACATTCACGCATTCACGCACTCACACATTCACACACACACACGCACTTACACTTTTGGCGTCGCGGGCCGGCGCACAGCGGTAGGAGAAACGAACGCGCGCGCACGCGACTAATGGCCGATCCCTCAAACCGATCAGAGACACACACACACACACACACACGCACAGACACATTCATACGGCGAATAACAATGTCGAGCGAACGGCGAAAGGGTGCAAAATCCCACCAAATCCCACCAGCCCTTGAATGAGCAGCTGGTTGAGAATGCTTCCTCTAACACCACCCTTCTCCCCTCTGTTCCTTATCAATGTACGCCCCTTCCCCCATCTGACCAGGGACGAACCTGGAACCGTGACAACATACATCCCACCATGCCTGTCAAAACACCAATGCAGCGTGCACGTTGCAAGCTCATCTGGACCACGCAGGGGCACCCGGCGAGAAGGCTGCACTGTTTTTGGACGGGGGCAGGCGGGAGGGGGGGGGAGGGGTCGCACACTGCCTGCTGCGCGCAGGCCGCGCAAGCCCATTGCCCCTGTCAAGAAACTATACTCAACACATTCCCCATCTCGCCATCGCTCGGACGTCCATTCCCTGTGCTTTTGTTTCGGTTTCGTGCGTGGTTTTTTCGCCAAGTGATCGAGGATACTCCTCGATGGTCCTCGCCGAAGGAAAAATGCACACGTCCGAGCGGTGCCAAGTCAACGATCGTGCGCGGGCACCCCGGGATCGCTTTGCGCTGTTATCCGGCAGGGTTGCTGTGGGTGCCACGGGCACGGGCGGCGCACCCCGCGGGCGTCGCGCACCTGGCGGGCGCGTGCACCGACTTCCGGTGACGCCAACTGGTGGCCCCTGCCCGTGCCGAGCCTCGAGCGCTGCTTAGTCTGAGGGGGCCCTGGGACACACAAAAAAGTAGACACGCATAAAAGAACTCCCCATAGTTTCCCATACCTTCTGGGTTTTTGTCTGCCCCCCCGCTTCCCATAGTTTCCTGTATGTTCTGGGGAATCGACGACTCATTGTGTCTGTGTGTTTTTGTTCCCTCCTGATACTTTTTGGGGCGGAGGGTGGGTAGCTGGGGTAGCTGGATCGGTCAGTCAGTCAGTCAAGCCTGGCGCACACACGACGTGATCGATGGTGCCAGCCAAGCAGAAATCCAGCAACACAGCGCGTATCGCGACTGTGACGCAGAAAAAGAAGCGCCAGACTCTGCAGCAAACAAGCTGTCGGAGGCAGGAATCGTAATCGGAATCGAGCTCTGGGGGCACTAGATTCGTCTGATCGTGTGAGATGCCTGGGCAACTCCTGGCGTAAATCGCCAGTTTATAACTTTCAGATTCAAGCCTGTCTTCGCCCTGAGGACCTATTCAGGAACTTCTGGGGGCCGCTCATGCAGACAGGAGCACTGCACAGGCGGTCTGAGGCACCCTCGTTTGCCGACTGAGCTGAGGGGCCTCCCCGCACAACCAAAAAAAACGCGAGAGATTCTTGGGGCTGAAGGAAGAGGCTAGCCAATCAGCCATAGACGGCAGGGACACAAACGCCAACCCCACCGTCCAGGGCACGACGGGCCACTATCTGCAAGAGACGATGAGGAAACTGCCCAATCTGCACACGCTGGACGAAGGAGGTCGAAGGGGAGGGGGGGAGGAGGGGACGGGGGGAGGCAAGGGGGAGGAGCTTGATCACTGCTTCATATTAATATCGGCCGCTCCCCCACTCGATCGGCGACCAACCTGGGTCAATGATGGCCCCCCCCCCCACCATCCCTTTCAACAAACAAAGCGAACTGGACTTTGCTGCAAGGTGTAAGGTCATGTTCGGGGGCCCGCGGGCAATGTGTTGTGTTTTAACAGGGACGGCGGGGGCGCCATCACATGGCTTGCTGTGCGCAATGCCACCTTCCCTATCAAAAAATACGAACTGCACTTCGCGGCTGAATCTGGTTTATGCGGCGGGCACCCTGTGATCACTTTAGTGGCTTTTGACAGGGACGGCGGGGATGCTGGCATACAGTCGGGGCGTTGACCTAAGGAACCCTAAATAAGGAACGAGGCCCCTTTTTTCCATAAGTTAACCTTCGATTTCCTGTCGAAAACATAAGGAAAGCCTGATGCAAGCTGTGAAACACCTAAGGAATTCGGAGCCCCTCCCCAACGAAAAGGGTTCCTTCTTCAGGGCCCCGACTGTATTGCCTGCTGTGCGCAAGCCCACCAAACATCACGATGGCCACTCCGCCGCATTTATGCACTAATGTTCGACAAGGACGGCGAGGCCGACATGCTTCCCGATGTGCGCGGGCGAGCCTGGTACACTCACTCTGCGCGCGCTCCGGACCAGGGAACCGAAGTCTATATATATATATATATATATATATATATATATACACACACCGACGCGTTTTCCGGCCCCGCACTGCACGTTGCACGTGAACGCGGATCCGGGTGTACAGTCGGGGCGTTGACCTAAGGAACCCTAAATAAGGAACGAGGCCCCTTTTTTCCATACGTTAACCTTCGATTACCTGTCGAAAAAATGAGGAATGCCTGAGGCAAGCTGCGAAACACTTGAGGAACGCGGAGCCCCTCCCCAACGAAAAGGAATCCTTCTTCAGGGCCCCGCCTGTACACGGGACCCTGGTGCATACATGTGCCATTGACTCCCCTGGAAACGGAAAAACAAGATATGCACCACGCAACCCCGACGTCGCCCCCGACCCGCAAAAAAAGTCTTGGGATTGAGAAACAGCCCGCCATTGGTACTGTATATGTTCTGGCTTCCGACGAACATGGCGACGCCTGGCGCGGCTGGAGCATGCTGCACACTCGGTGCGCGTGGAGCACGTGACGCATCCGGCGCACCTGGCGAGCCTGGCACACTCGGGCCCCAGGGGGCGCCTGGCGCACCCGGCGCTCCTGGCATGCGCGGCGCACCTCGCCCCAGCGTCTCGCACCTGGGGACCGTGTTGGTTCCAAGTAGCTGCCCATCCAAAGACGACCGCTGACCATGCTAAGACTCGGGTAATTACTACTGAATGTGTTGGGAGGGCGGGTGGGAGTGAGCCAAACAGTTGCGTTGTCACTGGGTCTGGACGGGGAGGGGCGACCGATTGGAGCGTCCAAGATGATCCAAGATGGCTCCAACAGGGCCTCAGAGAGCCCAAGATGAAAGCAAGACCGCTCCAAGACTGCACCAAGTGGCCACGGATCTTACCAACCGTACAAGACCTAAGCACAACATATGTTTGTTGCATTCTAGGCTCTTCGCTTCTGATGGACTTCCGAGGCCTCGCCCAAGAGAGCCCCCAAAGGGGCTCAAGAAAGCTCCAAGACGGATCCAAGAGCGCCCAAGAGCGCTCCGAGAGAGCCCCAAGAGGCGACTCTTGGGGCTCCAGAGGGGGGGACCCCACTTAATTAACTCCCAATCTTGGATCGATATCCTCCAAGGTGGCCCCTGTAGGCCCCCTGGGGCCCTCAAGAGGGCCCCAAGAAGGCCCAAACAGGGCACCAAGGCCTTCAAACAATGGGGCCCCAACACGGCCCATGCAAGCTGCCAAAAGGCTCCCGTATCGAAAGATCCGCGAAGGCTATTATGATTTACTTATGGCCCTGCTCAAGCAGATCCGGATCTTGTAATTGGCGGCCGCCCCGCCCTCTCTGTTCCAGAGGGGCTGACGGGGGAGCGCGCGAAGCGGCAAGGATAGCTCTAGTTGACTTCCCTGGGCGATTGTACCATCGACGCCCGAACTGAAACACACGCTGTGTCAAACTCGATGGTCATGGGCAAGCGGGGCAACGGGCAAGCACCTTCCGCCACGCCGCGGCCGCCGCTCAGCAGCTGGGCAAGCTCAGCGTCTGCTGCTTCGTCCGACGCCGTCGAGCTGCTGCCCGCCGTGTACCCGTCCTCGGCGGAGCTCGCCGCGGAGAGACTCTCCTTCTACTCGTACTCGTCGGTGCGCGAACCGCTGTCGGAGGACACGCACAGCTCCTCCTTGTCGGGCTCGGGCTCGGTGCTTGCCCGCCGAACTGGCGCGACCAGCTTGGGCGCGGGCTTCGGCGCAAGCGGAGGCCGGCCCTTGCCGACGCGCGCGCCCCTTCGCGGCTGCACTGCGGGGGCCTTTGGCGACGCGGCGCGCGGCGGGCAGTGCCGGCCAGCAGCCAGTGGTGGCCAGCAGCCAGCGGCAACTGCCAGCAGCAAGCGGCCTCGGGTCCCTGGGCGTTTGGGCAAGGGCAATGGCGAACGGGCAAAGAGCGATCGCACGTTGCAGCCAGGCCCCCCCGTCAAGCCGGCAGGTGTCCCGCCCGATAGCGGTCCCCATTGCGGCCAAGGTCGAGCCAAGCCTGCCATGGAGTGCGAAGGATCTCACTGCGCGCGTTTCTCGCGCGCGCGCGCTCAATGTCCATCTGTCTTGGAGCCGAGAATATAGCGCAGAAGATCGGCCGTGCCTGAATAAACCGGCAACGCGTATTTCGAAACAGCCACGGTCGTGGCCGAAAGCACAATGATGGTCAGCGGCTGCAAACAAACATGATTACCAGCGAGATAAAATAACACAGCTGCAAGACGGCCTGAGACCATCCAAATAGCTCCCAAGACTCGAAGACGTCCCCAAGACGTCTCAAGAGTACCAAAGAAGCATCCAACATACTCCTAAAGAGGCCCGTAAAGAGGCCCAGAGAGGCAAAACCATGAAACAACTGGAAAGTACATAACGGGCCCAAGCGGAATGTCTTTAGCAACGTATGTTGTGCAGTCTACGTGGTGCACTCTATACTGCACAGTCGAAGTGGTGCAATCCATAGATCTATACATATACGCACACACACACACACACGCAGCACCCCGCAGATGCGGATAAAAATGAGGGGGCGGTGGGAACGTCAGCATTTCACGGGACTCCGGAGAAGCCCGCCGCAGGGCGCCAAAGTTCCACAAATTATACAACGAGCCCGCCGCTGACGCCGTGAAACCAATGTGGGTAGGTCGCGGGGTGGATCGCGGTGTGGGTCGCGGGTTGGGACGCGGGTGGGTCGCGGGGTGGGTCGCGGGATGGGTCGCAGGGTGGGTCGCGGGTGGGTCGCGGTGGTCGCGGGGGTGGATCGCGGGGTGGATCGCAGGGTGGGTCGCGGGGTGGGTCGCAACTGGGTCGCGGGTGGGTCACGGGCGGGTCGCGGATGTGTCGCGGGTTGGGTCGCGGGTGGGTCGCGGTGTGGGTCGCGGGGTGGGTCGCGGGTGTCGCAGGTTGGTCGCGGGGTGGGTCGCGGTGTGGGTCGCGGGGTGGGATGCGGGTGGGTCGCGGGGTGGGTCGCGGGATGGGTCGCGGGGTGGGTCGCGGGGTGGGTCGCGGGTTGGGCCGAAGGTTGGACGACGACTGCAAACAGCAGCGCAACAAGCAGAATCCTCATCACTGATGTCCACTTCAGCCACGCACCCACGGACAATGAAACAATGAACGACCGTTCGGCCCCTCACTCTGGCATACACATATACACGTACGCGTACATACACGTGTACTGTTTGCACATGTATCTATACAGATACACTCATACAGTTACGTATACACACACAGCCACACATTCACAACCATGAGTGTATACGCATGTAGGCACCTACCTTTTTTACACATACAATTACATATACACATGTATATATCTATACACAAACATAGACATGGGCATGCACGTAGACACACATCACTACACCGACACATCCCCACGCATATGCATAGCCGTAGACACATATATAAAATATGCACATATGCATACTCACATCCACATGCATAAACATGTCCATGTACATACACATATGCATGCGGCTGTCCATGGACATGTACGTATACATGCACACAACCATATAAATACATGATAATGCACATGCGCAAACACATACATAAACATGTACATGTGGTTACGCATATGTGTCCGTACATATCTACACATTCATGTACATATACACATACATATGCATGTACGTGTTCATTAACGGACTCATGTACGTACACCTATATAAAGCCTGGCGCCTGGATGTTCATAATCCATGCAAAATGTTCCGATACTATAGCATGGGCAGTGGGCTCCGCAGATGGCATGGGTAAGAAAGAACAGTGCCGTCAAGCATACACTAAGGTAACACTGAAGGGAGGAGGCCAGCCCGCTGGCCGACGCACGCGCGCGCGCCGCAGGCTCGCTCCTTGTTACGTTTCCCTAGGGTCGATGTAGTATAGCTGCGGAGGCAGAAGTAGTCAGTCAGAACAGCAGACAGGCAGCGCGCGCAAGGAGAGAGAGAGAGAGAGAGAGCAGGCAGGGCGAAAGATTGGTGGTGCGGAAGGTGTGCATTAACTCCCCCCGCGGCGCAGCCCCTCCCCTGCTCCTCCTCCTCCTATTCCTCCCACTCCTCCCCCTGCTCTGCCCTCTTCTCCTCCTCCCCTCCCCTCCTCCCCCTCCTCCCCCTCCTCCTCCTCCTCCTAATCCTCCTCTTCCTTCCCTCCTCTTCCTCCTCCTCCTCCTCCTCCTCCTCCTCCTCCTCCTCCTCCTCCCCTCCTCCCCCCTCCTCCTCCTCCTCTTCCTCCTCCTCTCCTCCTCCTCTTCCTCCCCCTCCTCCTCCTCCTCCTCCTCCTCCTCTCCTCCTCCTCCTCCTCCTCCTCCTCCTCCTCCTCCCCCTCCTCCCCCTCGTCCTCCTCATCCTCATCCTCCCCCTCCTCCTTCCCCCCCTCCCCTCCTCCTTCCCTCCTCCTCCTCCCTCCTCCTCCTCCTCCCTCCTCCTCCTCCTCCTCCTCCTCCTCCTCCTCCTCCTCCTCCTCCTCTCCTTCACCATGATCCTCATCCTCCGCCTCCTCCTCCTCCTCCTCCTCCTCCTCCTCCTCCTCCTCCTCCTCCCCTCCTCCTCCTCCTCCTCCTTCCTCCATCCTCCTCATCCTCTCCTCCTCCTCCTCCTCCTCCTCCTCCTCCTCCTCCTCCTCCTCCTCGCCCTCCTCCTCGAGGGAGGGAGGGGAGCTCCCCCCCAGAACCCTCCCCACCCCCACGGCGCCTGCCAGCAGTCGGCCCAGGCGCAGCGGCAACGAGGCCCCGTTCTGCGCACCCGGGGGGGGGGAGGCAGGAGAAGGGAGGACGGGGAAGGCATGAGCGGGGGGGAGAAGAGAGGGGAGGAAGAGAGGAGGAGGAGAGGAGGAGGAGGGGAGGAGGATGAGGAGGAGGAGGAGACGAGGAGGAGGAGGAGGAGGAGGAGGAGGAGGAGGAGGAGGAGGAGGAGAAGGAGGGAGGAGGAGAGGAGACGGAGGAGGAGGAGGAGGAGGAGGAGAGGAGGAGGAGGAGGAGGAGGAGGAGGAGGGAGGAGGAGGAGGAGGAGGAGGGGAGGGGGAGGCGGAGGAGGGGAGGAGGAGGAGGAGGAGAGAGGAGGAGGAGGAGAGGGGGAGGAGGAGGAGGAGGGGGGAGGAGGAGGAGGCGGAGGCGGAGGCGGAGGAGGAGGAGGAGGAGGAGGAGGAGGAGGAGGAGGAGGGGGAGAAGAGAGGTGAGGATGACGAATGAGCAACACACGCCCATGGAGGGTCGGCAGGAGGAAGACTGGCTATGGATATGGATGCGAATTGTCAGACCCGGTTGGGAAGCGTCCGTTCGAGCGGGCACCCCCTATCAGACAAACCGCACCCATAGCCCTTTCCGTCCCCCTGTTGGTATGGGTGTGTGCTGTTCGTTCGTCATAGGAGGCAACTCCTGAGAGGTCTTCGTCAGAACGATAAACAAAAAGGCACCAGACCCGATGAATGGGACACTGAGCCAAGCTAGGCCAGATTGAGCCGGGGAGTAAGCCCGATTAAATTGGATTTAGCCAGATTAATAAGCGGGATGCATAGAGGAAGAAAAAACGGCATAAACATAAACTGTTAGGGTCCGCGCGGTTTGTTGGATCTGCGCTGAACGCCCCTCCCTCGCGCGCGGAGCGCGCCAGGGGCGGCGCCGGAGGCGCCGCCGGGGGGGCCCAGTGCGGATCCAAGAACTCTGCGCGGGGCGTCCAAAGTTGAGATGTATGACGCTTCTTCTCCTTCAAATGAAAACAGGTTCATCGGAGCTGAACCATTGTCTTCCAGCTTTCGACCATGGAACCACCAGCGCCAACTCCGGGTTTGACCTCCCAGGAGCTGCATCCTGGGGAGGGGGCAGCTTGGGGGGGCGCGCTCGCGGGGAAAGCGAGAAGGGGGCAGGCAGGCATTTCAGGCAGGCTCGGAATCTGGGTTCGACCTCAACAGTGTTTTTCGTCTTCGTTTGTTTTCGTTTCCCCTCGTGTTGTCTTCCATCCGCCTCTAGAGCAAAACGAGGTCGAAGCGAAGACGGCCCACGACGTCGCCAGAACACCGTTCAGGCCCACCCCTGCTCGGAAGGCCTCCGGCCTTCTGAGGGTCCTTCTTAGGGGAACAGACAATGACATGAACACAACTCTGAGGTCAGCGCGGACTCCTCGGATCGGCGCTGGACCCCCTCCCTGGCGCGCGGAGCGCGCCAGGGGCAGCGCCGGAGGCGCCGCCAGGGGGCCTAAGCGCGCATCCGAGAAATCCGTGGGGACCTCCGAGCTGTTATGTGCATTCCGCATTTAGATCCCCTGGGTCCCCTTCCTAGACCCTCCACCTCCTCCTCCTCCTTCTCCTCCTTATCCTCCTCCTCCCCCTCCTCATCCTGCTCCTCCTCCTCCTCCTCCTCCTCCTC